AAGCCTGGCATATAAGATTTTTTTTAAAAATTTTTATCATGTTTCTTCAGATCCAATAAAAGCACTGAAATTTACTTTGATCAAACTTCATGCATTCCCATTACTAATATTCACCAAATTTTGTTCCTATTCTGCTAAAGTAGAAAAAACACAATCTAGCTAATGCTAGTTCTGAATCTGTGAAAAATGCCAAAGTTACCATAGATTGATGGAAAGTGTGCATTTAATTAAATTATAACCTGATCCAGAATCTTGCTGCTGCTGCAAGACAATGGATCAGTGTCTGCATGTCCTGTAATTACTGAGGTCTGTCCGTGTCGCTGTGGAAAGGCGGTCCCTCCTCCATCATTCCACAGACGTTACCTGCATGCGCCTGCAGGTGTGTGGGCGTGTCGCCGCTGCATCCTGACGCCTCATGAGGACCCATGAGTTTTTCTAGCACTTCCCAGCCTTCATGCGTTCACTCATTCGTCGTCTCTGCCCTCTTTGGAAATTCCCGCTTTCATTTTATTCAGCTCCTTTAGAGGTTGCTAATATTATGGGTGTTTAAGTGGCTTTTTACTGCACTTCATGAGAGCGCTCACCATGTATATCTCGGGGGAAGATGATGTTGGTTAGAAGAGAAAAAGATGAGTCACGAACTGCGTTTCCTTTCACCATGTAACTGCGCAATTTGACATTTTAAATATAAATTTCCTTAAAGGGGCAGCGTTATGACATATTTTTTAACTTTACATCATTAAATAATGTTACTCCCTCATCAAAAACATACCTGGGGAAATCCTTTAGTCTCCATGGCAACCATTCAGCTGTGCAAAACGCCTGGATGACCTTAGCTCCGCCTCCGAGGACGAAGCTCCTTCCCCAATCGGCTCCTTCAAACTAGCAAGCAGCAATTAGTGTAACCGGATCCGATCTGCGTTGTGCTGGTTTTAAATGATCAGGCCGTGGTTCACCTTTAAAAGGGTTTATTGTGACAAGAATAACAAATAGGAAATAGCCGTGTTACAGGCTGCCCGCTCCAAGCCCTCTCCCATAGGACAACATGACAAAAGGGGCGGTCTTAGCTCACAACATGTTAAATATGCAAAATAAACCTTTCTATACAACATACCTGACAAGAATAACAAATAGGAAATAGTCTTGTTACATTTTTCCAAATGATTCTTTCTTCAAATTTAATTTTCTGATTGAAAATGTTTTCTATTGAATCAAAAATAAATATGTAAATTAAACCAGGAAGTCCCATTACAGTCAAAAGCATCTTTCACAACAGAGAAACTGAATTTGACTCAAAATCTGTTTGCAGCCTAATAAATTCCACTTTGACCTAAAAAAGAAGAGCAAACAAAACAAACTTCTGGTGATTAATGATCATAAAAAGAGTAATTTATCAGGCTGTTTAATGATTGTGAATTAATGGAAGTGCTTTGCATGAAATGTGAAAATGTCAAGATGCTGATAACAAAAATATGATCCGTCAACAGAAAGGCAAATAGCAGTAATCAGTCTTGAAAAGCTGAAGTTCTGTTCTGGCTTTGCAGAAATAACACTGACTTAGTGACTGATGGCTCCGCTGTCATGTTTGGCAGAGTCGGGGGGGCGTGCGTCGCTGCCAACCGTTTTTATATTGTCTTCCTCTGTGTGGAAAAATAATCTGCAGACCAATACTGGATTCTGAATCACATTTGAGCGGAAGCATTAAAGTCTGTTGGGATTTTCGTATTGTAATACAAACTGTTTGAGAGGATAGTTAGCGAGTTGCTATGCCAGGGAAAGTCAGCGGCTCATTGGTTGGTCTTTACGCTGCTTTCATCTCCAGTCATCCACTTCATAATTCTGTCTTTTTGTGGTTATCTGGTTCAGTTTATGTGGCGTATTCCTCATTTTTTATATTTCCCTTCTTAAGAATAAAACGTTTTTTACTTTCTTTGAAGTTGGTTTGCTGTTTTTTAAAGGAGTACTTCTTCTTCTTTTTACTTTACATTATTAATAATCCTTTAATCTCCATGGCAACCATTCAGCTTTGCTCCACCTTCTAGGACGCAGCTTCTCCCCCACTCAGCTCCTTCAGACTAGCCAGCAGCAATTAGCAAAGACCTGGTGGAACTGGATATCTGCTGAGCTTATTATAGAAACTATTTATCAGTGTTTAGCTTGTAAAAATGTTGTTCCTGTTTGGAAATACAATCAGATGCTGAGTTCAATATCCAAGATGGCTGCCACACATCTTAAGGCTGTTGGTACCAAAGTTATGATTTTTATACAGCCTGAGTTGCTGTTTTATTTGATTTATTTATTCACCTTGTTTTCTGTTAAATATCTTTATATTGTATTTTATTGTTTTAGTCTTTGTTTTTGGTATGATGGTTGGTGTATTGGAGACTTGCTGAAATAAAGTGTTAAAGGTCATTTTATTACAGTAATTCAATTTAAAAAGTTACATTTCTTTACTTAAAGTGTTTATTTCTAAGTCTTATTTTCCAGCAAACTAAATTTTAGGTTTTCATTATGTGTAAACCTTGAACTTAAGATGTTCTTGTAATTAGACCAACAGTTTGCGTAAATTAAGCTGCATTAAAATACAGTTGTTGAATATAAATCATCTCACTAGTCAAAATAGATCTTAAAAGGAAAATCTTACAGCTGATCTCATTTTAGTGTCGCTTACAAGCCATAATTATGACCAAAAGAGGTGTAGCTGTTAATATTTTTAAAGATTGAAGTACAATGATCTCAGATTAAATATTTAAAGAAATCTTATATTTATTTTCAGTATTTGCAGCACCGGTGTGCTGATATTTTCATACTTCTGTATTCGATGTGTTTTCTCATCTGTCTTTGTTTTTTTTAAGTGTTAAATTTTTATAGCCCAGCTGCTGTCCTGAAGGTAAATCTGCTCCTGTTGTTCTCACTGCTTTTATTTGACAAATATTCAGCTTATAGAGCTGAAGATACTCAGTCTGTCTTGTGTGTGTCCTTTTTTGGACTACTGTTTAAATTAGAAAGTAATTTACTAGTTTTATTTTACTCTTATTGTAGAAGTATAAATCCTCTGAGATGCTGACCTTAATCTGAGCAACTGTTGGAGAGATTAACGGGTGAACTGAAAGTGAACAGCTCATATTCATAAAACACAAACAAACTTGAAGGTTGACCAGCCTAGCTTAAATTCATTACACCAAATCACACTTTACAAGATTAAAAAAGTGTTTAATAGTCACAATTTTATCTTTATTTGGCATTAAAGATGCGCTGAACAAGGAAGCTTTTGTTAATTAGAGGCACTGCAGTCTTGTGTTTACCATGCAGAGGGGATTTTAGACAAACTGAGGTCATGAATAAAAAATACAGCCATTGTTTACGGCTTTCATTTTGCTTATTTTATTCTCATGCAGTCGTTTGCATTACCTATGACAAAAATGAATGGAAAATGGAGGTTTGGTTTGACCCAGATTGCAGAAGTTTGTCAGCTAATATGACAAACCGTTAATCTCCTATTTCGGGATTCGCTGCTGCTTTTTAGTAATCTGATGGAAAAAAAGCATACAGGAAGTGGACGAGAAGCTCTTTCGTGTAGTAAATGGAAGGAAACTAGTTTTTAGATAACATATAGTGACATTTATGTAAGAGTATTTTGTCAGTAGGACAGTGTTATTACACTTTTTGTCCAGCTATTCTGACTTTTATCATATTCCATAAGAATTGTTAGTATAAAAGCAACGTTGATGGCAACAGTAAATTACACCAAATCACAGTAATTATTTTACTGACTAATCAATAAAACACAAACTAACAGCAATCCTTCAACTTGTGAAACCAATGGTTAATAATTAGTTCTTTAAAATGTTGCTGTTCTATACTCCTTTAAGAGGTGGCTGTACTGGAGGAATAACCAAGAACAAGTAGATTTTGTTTATTTGTTTTTTAAACAAATAAGGTTAATAAAGAGAATCATAAAATGAAAACAAAGGATATTATGAATATAATCTAATATGTTTTGTTTTATAAACACACTATATAGTTACAGTTACGTTTTCTCCCACTAATTACTGATTCTATTTATTTCAGTTAACAAAAATTTCAGTTTTTACTTTGTTAGCTTAATAATGGTGGTGCTAATGCTACCTTTCATACAAGAACAAAAGGCAGAAGCTCAGCTTTCTCTGTTTTTAGTATTCACATAAAATCAACAACAAAGTGAATACTGTCACAGAATATGAACCACTGAACATAAACCCCAGTGGTGGCTGCTGTGCTTCTGCGCTAACTAACGCTAGCTTGTGGCATTTGTTTACAATGGAGGTTTTATTTAAAAAAAAAACATAAATTGATCAACTTAAAGAGTCAGGAGGATGGGAAATGTCAGATTAAAAGTAGCTCTTGAAAATAAGTTAGTATTTTCTGTATATTCCAACCCGGAAGTAAATATGGAGCAAACTTCCGGTGTTTGAGCGCATTTCCGCTTCACTGCTCCGCGGTGCTAGCTTAAATCGCTGAATGATCGAAATGGAGACTGAGACGGCTTATTCTGAAATAATTACTTTATTCTTGTAATTTTACGACTTTTTTATGACCATTCTCCTTCGACTTTATTCTATTTTGTTCTCGTTATACTTTATTCTCAAAATGTTATGGCTTATTCGTGTATTATGACTTTATTCCCCTCATTTTATGACCATTCTCGTATTTTTTACTGCCCTAATACTCCGTCCTCGTGCTGTCATCGAAAACATGTTGATTTAAAACATCCTAAACTTCTTTCAGAACAACTTTTTGTCACATTTAAAAACGAGCATTTAATGTGATCATCGTGACAACAGGATCGCGTGTCCTTTCAGCGGGAACAAATCCATCTGTTTCAATCTGACTGTCCACGTCTGATTGTGTCACGGAGCCGCATGCCATCATGAGTTGCGTGAACCTCCTCCTCCTCCTCCTCCTCCTCCTCCTCTTCCTCCTCCAGCCCTGCACACAGGGCGCACCGGTGTCAGTTTGCTCCAGCCCTCCTCTGCAGCGGTCGCTTGTTGCTGCTGTCTCGGAGCAGGGATTTTTCTTCTCATTATTTTTTGTGGGAGTGGAAATTCCGCCGTTTCTGCCTCCTCACCACCAGACTGTGTGTTCCTGACAGTTCAGCTGCGAGCAGAGAGAGAAGCTGGACCCGAACCACACGGAGTCCACACCAGGAGGGTATTTTTCGGCTGAAGACTGATTTTCGTGGCATTGTTTTTTCATTTTTTTCCTCCTTTTGGAAGTATGTGAATCATTCCTGCCGGGCGTCAGATCGGGAGCGCAGCGGTGCCACTTTTTGCCTCTGGATTTTGGTTTTTGCTTCTTTTTTTATTCTTTTTTGTTGCGTTTGGATTATTTTCTTCCAGGAGATGCCAAGTTGTTGCCCGTGAAGCGCAGGATGCTGGGGACTCTCCAACCACCAGATCCCTTACTCTGAGAGAATATCCCTTATTTCTGATTCTCTCTTCTTCTTTGGTCTTGTTTTTGGTTGGTTTATCTTATTATCGATGTGGTGCCATAATCTAAGGATGCGCTGTGGATTTCTATTGTTCCTTTTCACCCAAATCATCTCGGTGTCTCCGTTCACTTACATTGGTAGGTTGACATTTATTATTGACCCGTTGTCTGTATTTGCATGTTATCAGCACTGTTTGCTCCCACCTGGCTCAGTTAAACCAGAATCGATTTGTGTTTAATTTATTCACAGATGAGGAAAAAAAAAAACAAAAGTGAAAAAATAATATCTTAATAACAATCAAGTGAGAATGGTTTAAAATAGTGAAGATATGTAAAGAATTTAGTTTTATTTCCATCCAGACCCGCTGTTGCGCGCTGAAGCAGGATCTCCAGGCAACAAGCAGGTCCATCAACCCTCCACAGAGAAAATAAAATGTAATCCCGCCGCCCGTTTTGCTGCTCCTCACCTTGAAGAGCGCGATCACACCTTATGGCGGATGCGACTCGCCTTCACTTTGTGTCGCATGTTTTTTTCCGAAATACCGGCAGGGAAGTTGGAAAACGTTTCCTGCGTCAGTCCGGCGGCACTTCTTGGAAGGAAAAGGCGCACCGGTCGATCCCTCCTCAGTTACACGCCTGTAAATAAAATATTCAGCCTGTTGGATGGAGACTCAGAGGGTTTTGTCCAAGATGTTAAAGGTCGGAGAAGAGAGAGGAGAAAACTGTTTTTATGTCACATTTAATCATTTAAATTGTTGATTTATCCACTACAATAGAATCCTCACCCACTCCAGGTTGTTTTCTTTTAATCATGGTTAGTCCAAATGTGAAAAGAATAAGTATTGTTAAAATTCACATGGTGGTATAAAGAGTTTGATTTCCAGATTTTGTCATTTAAAAACAGTGAAACTGCCTTTTAATTCATGCTTTCTTCTTCATGGGCAGGCATGTTTTCTGACTGTTTACACTCAGGAGGCAGCTCACTACAAATTGGCTTGAATAGAAAAGTCATGTGGTGCCGGTGCCGCCCCCTGACAGACCTGCACCCTGAATGAAGAGCCCTATCACCCATTAAACTGCCACTTTCTCTCTGGATTGTGTTTCATTTTTTAAAAAATCCTTTGTAATCACTTCCCGCCTTCCTTTGTGGTGCAGATCGATGCGGCGGAGAGATCACCATCCACTCGGCGAACTACCTGACCTCCCCGGGTTACCCCGGCGCCTACCCGCCCTCCCAGCTCTGCGTGTGGGTCATAACCGCCCCAGAACCCGGGCAGAAAATCCTTATCAACTTCAACCCGCATTTTGACCTGGAGGACAGAGACTGCAAGTAAGAACCCCCTCTCTCTCCGCCCCTCTTCATCTTCACTCTTCCTCACTTTCTCTCTCCACTCAATCTGCCTGGATACAGAGGCAAACTCTGCCCTCTATTGGTGAAGAGGCTCTGCTCTCAGACGGAGGGAGATTTCAGAGGAAATGGAGTTTGATAGGGAACAGAAATCAGTTTGCAGCAGCTCTGGAGTTCAGTTTTCTCTCTGCAGGACAAGGATGATGATTTTCATTTTTTGTGCAGATTTATTTCATACATAACTCTCTGCATGGATAAAATAACTGGATTTAGTTTTTTGTCATTTTATGAATGAAATGTGAAAGGATCGCTGCTCAACAATTTATCGCAAATAACTAAAATTAGAACTATAGATGTTGAATGTAACCTTTTAAATGACCCACTATTTATTCCTGAATGTTTCTTTTATTTCCATGGGAAGGGGTGTCCAAAGTGCGGCCCGTGGGCCATTTGCAGCCCACAAACTGAATTTATCTGGCCTTCGACCACAAAACAAAAATGGCACAAACTTGGTTTTCCAGCTCCAGATTTGATTTGAGGTTGATGAGGCTAAAAAAAAATCTTTCAGTTAAGAGTTCACTGACTTTAAAAAGAAATACAAATTAAAGTTTTCTAATTATGGAAGCAGCCATTTAATTACATTTCATAGTAAACAGAACCACAAACATTCAGAGGCTTTTACTCAAGGGCAGAGTTTCACTTTAAAGCAAAAGTTTAAAGAAAGAGAAACTCATAACTTGTTGCTGGGAATAAACACAATATTCCAGACAAATTGAAAAAAAGTTTTTTAAGACATGGACATCAAGTTTTCAACAAGATCACAGGCTGAAGTGATCATCATTACAGGTATTTATGTTAAATTATTCTTTCTGTAGTCACAATGAAAACAAAACACACAATACTCCTTTTATTTTTATTTCTTTGTATTTAGTTCAGAGTTGTTTATAAAATGATCAATTAATCAGGGGCTAAAGAAACATCCATGAGGAACACCGTTAGATATCGTCAGATGTTAAATTTGACACAGTGACTTTCCTCAGATGTACCATTTATTGGACATGCTTCAAACTCGTGGCCCGTGGGCCAAATCTGGCCCGCCATAGCTTATTATTTGGCCCTTTAGGTTCTTGACTAAACACTAAATGTGCCAAAATTTTATGGTTTCAATCAAGTCAGTGCAGTTTTTATCTGTTTACTGCCAATCATTCCCTCCAGTTTCTTGAGATTTATTGTAAAAATTCACACAAAATCAACAAAACCCGCACTTTGTGCCCATATTTGGGAATTTATTGGACATTTTTCTCAAAAATTGAATTGTAAAAAACTTTTCTTTAACTAAATGGCTACCTTGGCTTTACTTGATGTCAGATTATAGTTCATAATCTGTACAACAAGTAATAAAAAGTCACATTTACAGACCTAAATAAGCACAAATATCGCAGCTATTTCTAGATTAGTACCACAAACACTTTGATTTTTATTGTAAAAAATCACAAAAAGAATAATAAAATCCTGGAGGGGCTGAAAAGATATTTAATTTTAAGGATTTATTGATATTTTAACAGTTTGTGATCAGGTTCTGTCAATACATTCTGGCACAACCGGCTCTTTAAGAGCTTTTATGATCTGGATTTGTATGGTTTTTTTTTTGGCTCCATGTTTGATGAAGGGTGTTTGAAAGCCCAGAACCTGACTTGCAGGGTGCCGCAGATCCCTGCAGGGTGCCGCAGATCCCCTGGTTGATATGGCGAACGCTCACTTGTCGCTCCATGTGTGTTTTTATGGCATCTGCTTTGTCCTCTTTTAAAAGCCCAGTAAACTCGTCTGGTGTAAATCTCTGCTTGCTGTCCAGCTCTGCCTCTCAGATGTGGGGCAGGAGGTTCGGTCCAATACTATCGGATCACATTTCAGCACCAAGGGACTAATAAACCATTAGTGCTCGGACAGATACTGGGTATTGGGTGTCCTTCACTGGGTTGCACGTCTTCTGTCTGCGATGGGGAAAATGCATCTGGAACAGGTTTGTTTTTGGGAAAACACTGCTAGTTAAGTTAATTATTTCCAAATTAAAGTCTTTATAATGGATAATTACTAGCTTATAGATAGCAGAAGGGGAAAAAAAGCGTTTTCTGAAGTCGTGACGCTGTTGACGCCTGATTGTCCTTCCTGCGGTGGCATCGTTTCCACTCTGAGACTTGCAGGAATCAAACAGCCTGACCACCCAGCAGCCACCTCAACAAGTCATTTGGCTGTTGCCTGGAGGGCCTCTGCGCCGCTCGATCGGTTTCATTATTTGTTGTGTGAGTTTGTGTTGGATGATGGTCGGGTGTAGCTTGTAAGTCTTTGGCTTGGCAGGAGCGATGTTGTTTTTGGGAACGACTCAAATGTACTCGCCGAGGGAGGCCTTGAGCGTTTTGGCGAGACGGCATTCCCGCTTAAAAATTTCCTGAGATTCATATCTGAGGCAAGCGAAGAGTGTTTTAATAAGTAGTGGTCTGAACTTGACGGAAGCAAGACTTTTAATTGGAGTTTTTCAGAAGTTGTGCTTGTTTTCTGAAGGTCTCCAGTTAATTTCTCCTCAGGAATCGTCTTATTTGTGTATTTTGGTGTAAAGTTAGGCTTCTTACAATAACAAGTTTTGCTTGTCCCTGAAGTGATTGCGATATTATTGTTTTGACATCAAGTAATGTAAATAATGGCGTAATAATGCAAGTTTACCCTCTCAAAGATCCATAAACTTTACGCTGGAACTGGGAAACCATTTAAATTTCCAAAATTTAATAAACAAAATAAATTAAACCATAAATGAAATGAACCGTATAATCTGTACACAAACTTACTTTTTGATAAATATTAATTATCAAAATGGATACTATCAAGCTTATTGAATTTAATACTAAATCAATTTATCAAATTGCATTGGTTTAATTTTGAACATTTTATGTTTGCATGGTTTATAATGCAGACCTAACTTATCTCTCCTTTCCACTAGAAATGGTCAACTACCCAAATAAAAATGGGAAATTTTTAATTAAACACCTTCAGAAAGTGTGAACACCACTTTACAAGTTAGCAAGAAATGCTCTAATTCTTTATCAAACACAAAAATTTAACCCAATAGTTCCTAAAGCTGCAAAATGTTAAGGATTTTCTCCAAAATAAACAATGTGCTAATTGGGTATTTTATTCAAAAATGGCCAAAATACCACGTTTATTACCCTGACAATGTTTTTGTTTGTTTCTGCCAACAAGTTGGAGGAAAAAAACATCGCCTTAATTAGAGAAAACAGCAAAGTTTGACATTTTTCCTTTAAAGCCTCATAAACTGATGGGCGCAATTATGAGAAGTCATCCCTAAACAGCTGTTATCATTTTAGATCAGAGTAGTTTTAGTTTTATTCAAAGACTTAAACCAGTGTTCATCTCCTCCAGGCTGGATCTGGTTCAGTGTGTTAGTCACATGGCTTTCTTTGGTTACTTTATTAAATTATTATCAGTTGTTCCTACAACACTGCTTGGACATTATTTTGGTTTAAATATTTATTGGTTTATTGTCAGAGTGACACTTCGACATGCAGCGTCAGAAAACTGATTTTTAACTCAACTGTTGTCAATTTGCAACATTAAATTGAAGCTTCACCCTTAAAAACAGGATTTCTAGTCATTTGTTGCTAAAATATTTGACAGTTTTCATGAATTAATGGTAAATCTTAGACAAATAGAATGTGACATGTAACCATGTTGAACAGGCAGGGTTAATTTTTAGCTTAGCACTCTTGCTAGCTTTGCTAGTTAATTTGTTTCTAAAGCTCTAATTTCCTTGGCTGTTTTGTAAACTTTTAAATTTGAACATTTGTATCGAAGTTTTGGTGATCGACTGTTCAGAAGTCTGTAAGTCGTTTGACGTTTACATTCATGCTCTTATTTTGAAGTGGGCTAAAACTGTTCAAGCAGAATCCATTTCCTCTCTTCATGTCCCAAAATTATTTAAAACAAGAAACACGAACAACATAAAACACAGACAGGAGAGAACTGGACAATGTTCCATGTTTTAGATTGTAGAACATGTAAATTATAATGTCTAAATTTGCTGTAATCTTTCAAGGGCAGATCTAATTTGAGTTTAAGCTACTGCTTTAGCATTAGCTTTATGTTTACATTGTCAGGTTCTGTGTTTTTCTGTGTTTTAATTCTGAGTTTCTGTGTTCTGAGTCTCCTCGTTGTCCTGTCTTCCCCTTGATTGTTCCCAGGTGTGTCTTGTTCCCTTGATTACCCTCAGTGTATTTAGTCCCTCCTGTGTCCTCTGTTCCTCGTCGGTCCTTGTCGTACTTTTGCCTCTGTCTGCTGTTGTGTTTAGCCGCCTGTATGACCAGTTGCTACCGGCGTTGAGCCCTGGCTTCGCTCAGCCGTGCTGCCTGGCCGCGGACTCTGTGTTTTTGTGGACGTATTTTCATTAAATTACTCACCATTCACCTACCTGGGTCTCCAGCGTCTGCCTCACCACCTCCACTACTCACCATTTCATGACAGAAGGACCCGACCAAGAATACGGTGAGGCTCGCTGAATTCAGCATGGACCCAGAGGGTTTAGAGGAGCTACTCCGTACTATCCAGGAGTATGAGGAGTCAAAGAGCACGTCCACGTTCGCCCTGAGACGGCCAGGGTTCGCGATACGCCTGGGCCTGCTATTGGACTATTGGGTTCCTCGTCTCCCGCACCCCGCGCTGGTGGAGCTGCAGCGGGAGAGGAGATACGCCGGACAGCCTTTGCGGCCTGGGATGCTAAACCTCTGCCTCCCAGGCCAGACATCCGCTCCGGCAGCCCAGCCCCAGCTCCAGCCTCTGCTCCTCATGCCGCTCCGCCGGACCCCGCTCCGGCTGCCGTTCCTGCTCCGCCGGACCCCGCTCCGGCTGCCGCTCCTGCTCCGCCGACCCCGCTCCGGCTGCCGCTCCTGCCCCGCCGGACCCCGCTCCGGCTGCCG